GCTTGTACGCCTCACCAAATGTTGTCGCCCAGTTACGCCTCCCGACGATATGGATGGGTGTCAGGACAGAAAGTTTTGGAAAAAAGCACTGCGCATGATCCTTCCCCTTATGCTCGTTTTTTGCGTTTTGTAACCCAAATCGTGCTGCTTTTGTTTGCTTCTCAGCGAGCGGCTGCACAATGAAAGTTAATTGTAAGCATCGAAGCCCTTTTCAAAAAGCAAATTTGAAAAAACGTGACGCGTGGGGAAGCATTGTTACAGGTTTTTTCATCCTGAAACCCATTCTTTCATCAGCGGTGGTCGAATGCCAAGCGTTTCCTCAGTTAAAAAAACGATGGCAATGCTCAGTCGCCGTGCGGTTCTGCGACCGAAAAAATGTCGTATTTGCGCAGGCGTTTCACAACTTCTAGTGAACCAAAGCAAACAAGCATAAAAATTGGAATAGTGAGTTTTTCACACGAAAAATTCAAGAACTAGCGAACATTTACGGCTGCCCAGGCACAACTGTAATTTTTCTCGTTTGCTATCGTTCTTGCAGAAAAAAAATTTGAATTTAGGCCTGATGTGTGCAGGATATTTAGAACCTAGCTTTTGTGTAAGGATGCGTTCATACCGTGCGACGTCGTCGTCAACGTCGACGTAACCTGCGTTTTCTGCGACTAGTTCCTGAAGATATACGTATTGATCCAACGAAAGCTGCGTAACCGACGACTACTTCACGAAGAATAGATACGTATCGATTCGACGGTTACGCAACTTACGCAGCTTTCGTCGGATCGATACGTATATAATCTTCACGAAAGTCGCAGAAAACGCAGGTTACGTCGCTTTCGTTGGTTACGTCGACGCTGACGACGACGTCGCACGGTATGAACGCAGCCTAAGTTTGCTTCTTTCCGCGCCAGTGTAACCATCACCGTCCTTATACCCTTTTTCAGCCTGAAAATCGAGTATATTTCCCTTCATAATTCTTCATGTTTTCATTTTTGGCTCGTGGAGAACTCATCGCTATGAGATTGACTCGAGAATTAGTGGAGGACCCATTTATTGAAACCCTCGTTCTGTTTTTTCCCTAGTTGTAACTCGTCTGCGGGGTCTGATTTTTCTTTCCACGCAGTGTTTGAGTTTGACGTAGTTAGCGTGTCAACATAGCGCGATGTCAGCTGTTGAAGAGTGCCAAACAATGGCTAGAGTGTCCAGGGTGGATCTTTGGTTGCCGTTCTTTGGAGTGTCTCAAAAAACTACTCTTTAGTATATAGTTTCAGGCGCTGATAGAACGTAATTAAGGCTGTCCACATACTTTTCTACAGTATCTCAAGAGCTCTGAGTTTTGAGTGAAAAACCTGACCTTGGCCAGAAATTGAACTTGTCAGCAGGGTAGTCTTCAACCTTCTCAGTATGATTTGTAAGCGTTTACTAGTAGAAAGCGAGAAGTTGCGGGAGAGCTCTCACAGTAATACACAGCCTTGTTTACTGCGGATTCTGGCGTGTGCTAGAGAGCTTGGGATTGACGTGGCGCCAGACCGTTCCCCACCAATTGTTGAAGCGGAAGCATCAACATTCTGCGGTAAGGGCTGACACCGCGTCAACCCCCTCCTCCCGCCTCCTTGACAAGCCCGCGTCCGCGGCGAACAAGGCTGAAAATGTTGCTGAGCTTAGATTTGCCAGATCAAAGCTAGGACTTTGAGTTGTTAAAATTTCTGCGCAACTTCCCCAGCTCGCAGCTTACTGATCTCCATTCATTGAACGTGATTATGAACCTCGCTGCTCCTTGATTTCGTGGACTCATCGAGCTGGCACAAGCTGCTTGCACCTCCAATTCCGTCTACATCAGAAAACAGGAAGCCTGAAAACGCTGCCATCATTGTGAGTGGACAGTTGCTTATCGAGCGCTATCAGCGCGCCAGATTGATGTGAATAATGCATACTGTTGCATTCTTGCTCAGTTATAACTGTGAATTCTTGCCTAGTAGGGTGTGAGTCAGTAAAAATTCTCAGGAAATATTTCTTTTA